TGACTATAATTGTAATCCACTTCTATATGGGGAAACTTTGGGCCTTTACAGCTGCCAGAAATAATGCAACTTGAGGCCACTTTAACTGTCCTGGCTCAGTGCTAGGGAATTGTAGTTTTTCTGAGACATTGAGCCTTCTCTGTCAGAGAGCTCTGGTGCCACAATAAATTACAGTTCCCATGAGTCCCTAGCATTGAGCCAGGGCAGTTAAAGTGGACTCAAGTTGCATTATTTCTGGCAGTCTGTAAAGGCCCTTTGTCTCCCAACTTTCTACTTGTTCATTGACCCTATGGCATTTCTCTAAAATATCTTGATTTTTTTTTCTTTGTCTTTAGAGTTCAGCATATTCATCAGTCTGGCAATATCTGTATACAACTCTTTAGTTTTCAACTTCATGTTATCAAGTTCATTTTGACCTTTATTGACCTTTTGACACAGAATCTGATTTTCCTGCTCAACAGCATATAGTTGCTCTTGTAGCCTTTTATTTTCTTTTACTAAAACCTCTTTCTCTCTGCCAGTCTGAATAAGCTTATCATTGGCATCATCAAGCAAATTATGTAATCTGATAATATCCTTTTCATATCTGCACAGTGTTTCAGTAGAATGTATAGTTGACTGTTTCATTTCATGAATTACACACTCTAAATCTGAAATAGTCTTTGCTTCACTATCCAATCTTTCTTCAAGGATAACAATTTTCTCTGTTTTTCTTTCTATAAGGTCTTGTAAAGACTCTTTTTCTGACTCCAGTGCAGTTACTTCTTCGTTAAATGTATGAATAACTTAATTTTTCTGTTCAGTTTCTAGTTGCATTAGTGCTATTAAAGTATCCTGCTTCTTAATTGTTTCTTTAAAAACATCAATTTTTTTTCTGTTAGGTCACTGCACTTCTTCAAGGAATCATCTGGTTTCTGTTCAGTTTGTAAAAGCTTCTCACCTAGTTCTTTATTTAGAAGGTCTTTCTTTTGAATTAAACTCCTCATATTCTCTATCTGTTCTAGCTTTCCTGTTGTATCAACCAGGCTTTGCTGAGGTATGTGTTTCATTTGTTTCTCCAGCTTTCTGCCACTGTCTTTCACTTCCATGACAACCTGAGTTTTAAGGCTTCTGACTATGGGTGGAGTTTATCTCTTGTGGGGACAGTTTTTCTGCACAATATGTTTGTTTAAAAATGTCTTCCCTTTCTTTGAAATTTTATTTAGTATAATCCATCTGAAGGTGTCCCTCTAGATCATTCCCAATTAGACATGGTACTGAAATATCATCATATATAGTAAATTTCCATGGCATTTTATATCCTCTGAATGTGATATCTAACTGGGTCACAGGAACCAAAATTGCAGGCCTAAAACCTTTAGACTCAATGTCTCATTTGGGCAAATATCTTGAGAATTCACAAAGTGTGACTTAATTATACACATTTCTGCACCAGAATCTCCATAACCCCATATATAAGTATCATTTATTTGTATCACTTCTCTGTATTTCTCTGAGTTAAGTTCTTGTGGGGCAGTTGATGCAAACAAACAAATTTTAGATAGCCATGAGCTTTCAGAGTCAGTTCCTCTCTCAATGGGTTTTGTTTCTATGGCAACTGCAGCCTCTGAGCAATCCTTGTGGTAACAAACTTTCTCTGTAGGTCTTACTGACATTATACAATATGCTGCTTTTGAACCTGACTTTGGGCTCTGCAGACAGGCCCAAAGGGGCAGCAGAGAACCTCCCCAGGAAGTGGCAGATTGGAGCCAGGGCTTCTGGACTGTGTGGCCCCAATCCGCTCCTTTTATGGGTGGTAAAAGGCCACCCTAAGAGCCGGCACACAGCTTTTAGCACCCCTTCTGGCACAGAGTGTCAAAACGTTGCGCTGGAAGGGTGTCCTGATGCCACATGATGTGCGTAATGGCACGTGGCATCAGGATGTCCTTGGCATGGGGTTGGGGCAGCTGGCATGTGGCTGCCCCTCCCCATCTCTGCCTCCAGGCTAGCCTTTTGGGCCAGTCTGTAAAGGCCCTTTGTTTCTTTGGACCTAAGCAGATGGGTTATTGGGCCGTCTTGGGGGCAGGGAAGTGGAGGGGCAGCCGCACGATCGGTGCCCCAACCCCTTCCCGAGGTCATCCTTGGAGCACCGGCCCTCTGCACGGCCGGTGATCCAAGGAGGACCTCTCGCCACAGCATTCGCACACGCTGCGGTGGAAAAGTCGACGAAGGTGCGCCGCAGCCTTTTGTGACATACCTTTGATGACTTGTGAAAGGAGCACTGATTTAGTGCTCCTTTCAGGGGCGGCGAAGCTGTGCCGCGGGACTGAGGCATGGGGATGCCTCAGTCCCACGGTGCAGCTTCCCAGGGCAGCCCATGGCTGCTCATCTGCTTAGCCCCTTTGTTATTTAACTTAGGGCAATTATATTTTAAATGTCCTTGTTTACCAGATTCACAAGTTTCTTTATCTGGGTGACTTTCTCTAATCCAGTAATTTCTATTTTTTTCTCAGAGTCACACTATCTCAGCCCAGCATTTTTCCTCTCAGCTTCATTTACATCATGGTCCAAGGCTTAACATTTTTACCCTCATCAAACATATCCTTCAAAGCTTGTCAATTTTTATACACTTTCTTTTCACTATAGTGAGGTTTTACCTCAGGTTTTGACACTTTCATGCCCCCTTCTTTTATTAAAATTAAATTGTCCATCATCTGGGCTGCTTCAGCAAAAGTTTGAGGTCTTCAATCTTGTACCAACCATTTATACTCTTGAGGAATGGTATCGTGAAATTACTCCAAACCTATTAAATTCTGTAATTCTTCTTTTGACCCCACTTTGGAACCATTTATCCAACTTTTCAAAAGATAATCTAACCAGCATCCTAATTGAACATATGTTTCATCCCCTCTTTTCTTCAAATTCCTAAATTCCCTGCAGAAGGGTTTTTGTGTTAATCCAAATCTTTGTCTAACCATTTCCTTAAACAGGACATAGTTTTGGGATTCCTCTACCCTCATTTCAGTATATATTTCTCATAATCCTCCACAGATTTGTGATCTTAAATAACTCATCCTTTCTTCAGCCTTTTTTAATTTTTGATTCTTCACAGGTTTTCTCAAAATTTGTGAAGGAGTCAATGTTATCTCCTTTATAATATCTTGGGAGCCTTTTCATGTCAAATTGAGGCATCCTGTGTATCATTGGTACTTAAGGGATTCCCTGTCTAACTGTCTCATTTTCAACTGAAAATCCATCTCCTTCTCTCTTAAAATTCTCTCATTTTCAATCTCTGCTTGTCTTAAT